CGTAGTAGTCGTAGTAGTAGTAGTAGTAGTAGTAGTAGTAGTAGTAGTAGTAGTAGTAGTAGTAGTAGTAGTAGTAGTAGTAGTAGTAGTAGTAGTAGTAGTAGTAGTAGTAGTAGTAGTAGTAGTAGTAGTAGTAGTAGTAGTAGTAGTAGTAGTAGTAGTAGTAGTAGTAGTAGTAGTAGTAGTAGTAGTAGTAGTAGTAGTAGTCGTAGTAGTAGTAGTAGTAGTAGTAGTAGTAGTAGTAGTAGTAGTAGTAGTAGTAGTAGTAGTAGTAGTAGTAGTAGTATAGTAGTAGTAGTAGTAGTAGTAGCAGTAGGAGTAGTAGCAGTAGTAGTAGTAGTAGTAGTAGTAGTAGTTGTAGTAGTAGTAGTAGTAGTAGTAGCAGTAGTAGTAGTAGTAGTGGTAGTAGTAGTAGTAGTAGTCGTAGATGGAATACCGATGGCACGCAGAGGACATATAATAAGTATGCGGGGGTCACAGGTATCGTAATTCCAAGGGGTCCCAGGAGGCAATCGCTGGCAGGAGGAGGGGGAAGGGGATGGAGGAGGAGAGGATACATTGCTTTCCTGCTGTAAGCTCCTGCTGGCTCGAATCCTAATCGCTCCGAGCGCTTGGATACTCGCAAGTCAAAGACGTCCTCAAGAGGCCCTGAACACTTCTGCCAAATGCCCCGAGATGCCACTGAGAGGCCCCCAAATGGCCTCCAAGAGGCTTCCAGGAGAGCCAAAACGCACACAGCCTCGCATTCTGGACGCGAGCCCAATGAAGCGAGAGGAAACCACATCTGGAAGCGAAGTGTTGCCGGAGGCAGGTCTGAAGAAGAACAGATTCGAGCGTGTCGTATGTTCAGTCTGCGTTTTTACATATGAGCGAGTATCACGCGATGTGTATTGTTTGATCCGCCTGCCTAGTTTGGGGACAGCAGGCTGCGAGGCGCACGTAGGTGTTATAGTTCCCTGCGCTGGTTCCAGCTCCAAATCAATGATAGATGTTCTCTGTTCTGGTTCGACTGTCGCAACGGTTTCAGTCCGTGCGCGGGGGGAAAGCCCGAAAAGGAGCATCTTACTCTCCTTGAATCGCGTGCTCTGGATTTCTGGGGGTGTCCTGGGACGCGAGAGCAAAAACAGGTTCGCTCTCCCAAGGCCACACTCCCACGTAGCTGGGAACGGGTGACGAACAAGTGAGGAGGACGAAGAGGTGTGGCTCTGGTTCAAGATGTCTGCTCCGCCAGCACCTCCTCTACTTCGTCTGATCTCCGCTTTGACTTTTGGCCCCTCGAGGCTCCTCATGAAAATCGTCTGGGTGGTAATTCGAGATTTCTTGGGGGGCTCGGAGGTTCGGCGGCCATTCCTTCTCTTCCTCCTCCTCCTCCTCCTCCTCCTCTTCCTCGTCCTCCTCCCCTCCGCCTCCTCCTTTTCCTCGACCTGCACCCGTTGCACCCCTACACCCCAACACCCTTACGCTCTTGTACCCTTGCGCCCACAGCCGTAACTGCGCATGCACGAGGAAGAGGGGAAGGAGAAGGAGGAGGAGGAGGACCCAGGAGTAGGGAGCATTGGGGAGGAGCAAGGGAAGGATGAGGAGGGGTGCCTCTGGCTCAAAATGATTGCTCCACCTGCTCCTCTTCCACTCTCCCTGTTCCTCCCTTTGATTTTTGGGCCCTCTGGCTCCTTGTGAAAGTCGTTTGGTTGCCTGTAGAAGACCTCGTGGAGGTCTCGGCGGTAGGTCCTCCTCATCACCATCATCCTCCTACTCCTCCTCGTCATCATCATCGCCACCATAATCACCACCAGCAGCATCATCAGCATCATTATCAGCAGCATCGGCATTATCATCTGCATCATCCTCATCGGAGTTCAATGAACCGCATCATCATCAGCAGCATCAGCACCAGCGTCATCCTCAGCATCAGCATCATCATCGACATTAGCATCACCACCATCAGTATCTTCAGTATCATTATCATCATTCACATCACCATCACCACTACCATCATCAATGCTATCATCATCGTTACCAACATCAGCATCAACAACCACACCATTTGCATTACGCACATATTTATCATTATCATCATCACCATCATCCGCATCAACATCAGCATCATCGTAACCATCAGAATTCAGCGTCATGATCTGCATCACCATCATCATCAGCATTACCATCGTCGTCATTGTTATCATAAGAACCATATTCATCATCAGCATCGTCATCATCATCAGCATCATCATCAACATCATCAGCAACACCATCATCGTCATCATCATCATCATTATCATTATCATTATCATTATCATCATCATCATCGTTATCATCATAGTCATCATCGTCATCGTCATCTTCATCATCATCACCATAATCGTCACCATCGTCATCATCAGCATCATCACTATCATCATCATCACATCATCGTCGTCATCATCAGCATCATTACCCTTATCATCAACATCGTTATCATCAGCATCCTTCTCGTCAGCAGCAGCAGCATCATCTCCATCATCCTCATCCTCATCCTCCTCATCATCATTCGAATCATCATCATCATTATCAGCAGCACCATCATCATATTGATCATCCTTTATCACCATCATCATCCTCATTGTCATCGTCATCGTGATCGTCATCACCATCGTCATCATAATCACGATCACGATCATCATCGTCATCATCATCATCATCAAAATCATCATCATCATCATGATAAGCATTGTCACCACCACCAGCATCATCATCCTCAGAAGCAGCAACATCAGCATCATCGTCAACATCATCATCATCATCATCATCATCACCATCACCACCACCACCACCACCATCATCATCATCATCATCATCATCATCATCATCACCATCACCATCCCATCACCATCACCATCACCATCACCATCACCATCACCATCACCATCACCATCATCATCATCATCATCATCATCATCATCATCATCATCATCATCATCATCATCATCATCATCATCATCATCATCCGGCACCCTTGTCGTTGTCGTCGTCGCATCTCCTCGTCTGCGCCACGAAACCTTACACAGGACTGCCGGTGAATTTTTTATCTGTGCCTCCAGGGAGGGTGCCGGCTGGTTTTTAATGACGGCGATCTGAGCACCGTGACCCCAGAGGCCCAGGAATAGCCCACTGAAAGGTGCCCGTGTCTATAGCTCTGTGGCGGATCGTCTGTGGAACCCTGAGGGGCAATGCGGAGGGGGGGGGGGGGGGCAGGTCAGGGGTGGGAGAACCGTCGACCTGGAATCGGCGCCACACCGCCGATAGATCTGCGATAGGCCCCCCATGGCGAAAAACCGCACACTCCTGGGCGGAGCGGGCCATCAGGCCTCGATCGGCGATGAATGGGCGGTTGGATGTCAAGGCATACCCCTCCTCCCCCTTCTCCTCCTCCTCCTCCTCCTCCTCCTCCTCCTCCTCTCTCCTCTCTCCTCCTCCTCCTCCTCCTCTTCCTTCTCCTCCTCCTCCTCCTCCTCCTCCTCCTCCTCCTCCTCCTCCTCCTCCTCCTCCGGGCGGGAGTGGCACATCGAGCCTGAATCGCCGAAGCATCGGCGATGGGCCCCCGACAGCGCCCCCTTGGCGGCTGTTCGGAAGGACCCGGGGGCACCCCCGGAACGCTCGCGGCGAGGCGCAGCTGCTGGAAGGCCCCCCGAGGCTGGGAGAGAGGGGGCCGAGACCCGCCCGAACGCCAGCAAGCCTGGAACTCCCAAGCCCCTCGCCCCCGGAGCCCATCCCCCCCCCTCCGCGTTGCCCCCTGGGCCCCTCGCCCCCCCCTCCCGTATGGACCCGGCGCCGGCGCCGCGCCCCGGCGGCGGCCCGGGCGCCGGCGGCACTGCCCCCCCGCGGGCGTCCCCGCGCGGGGCGCCGCCCTGCATGACCAGCAGCGACTTGTCCTCCGGCCCGCTGCCGGTCTCCGCCGCCGCTGCCGCCGCTGCCGCCGCTGCCGCGGCGCCGCGGCCGACCGCGGAGGCCCCAGACGCAGACCCGTGGACGTCTTGCGCTGGCTGCCGCCGCCGCAGACATGCTGGCTCCGCCGGCTTCCACGGAGGCCGAGATCTTCGCCGAGGCCCTTTCTGGGACGCCATGGTTGCTCTCTTTGTCGTCGTCGTCGTCGTCGTCGTCGTCGTCGTCGCTGGCGCTTGCGGCGTGGTCGTTATCACTTTCGAGGCAATTGTTGCCGTCATCGTCGCCGCGACGCCGCCAATGTCGTCGTTTTTGTCGCCGTCGTCAGTCTGCGTCGTCCGAGTCGTCTTCGCGGCCGTCGTCGGAAGAAGAGGACGATGAGGAGGGAGAGGAGGATGGATCGAAGAGGTCGGCACTACGAATGACAGGGAGGATGAGGAGGAGGAAGAGGAGGAGGAGGAGGAGAAGGAGGATGAAGATAAGGTAAGGGGTTAGAGGGATGGAGGAGGCGGACGGATAAGGAGCGAGGAGGTGATCGGGGGAAGGACGAGGAGACGAGCGCACTCGGAAGGAGTATGAGAAGAAGCAGGCCGAACGGGAGGGAGGACAATGTAGTAGGAGGGGGAGGAGGATGAAGAGGGGGAGGAGGATAAAAAGGGGAGTGGGAGGATGAAAGGGGGGGGCGAGGAGGGGAGAGGAGTAGGCTGGAGTGGTCCTCGGGCCCGTCCCACGGCACCCTCCAGTTGGAGCCGGGCGGCAGCATGGAGGTCTTCTGCCCGTTGTAAGCCCAGACCTGGTCCCCGCCGACCTTCGGACCGAACCACCACCCGCTGAAGCTGGGGCCGTCGCGCTCGTCCCAGAAGTATATCAGCACGCTCACTGCGTTGGTGGCCCCCGCCGTCTGCTTCTTGTAGACCGGCTTGTTGTGGTTGGTGGTGTCCACCACGTAGGTCCCCTTGATGATGTTCGCCACGGTCGGGTTGGTGCAGCCACTCACCTGCCGAGATGGCGTCGTCTGGCACCCCCGAGGTGACGGGGGGGGGGCAGCAACCACCAAGCAGACTCTTCGAAACCACAGGGGGCGATTGGATACATTCAGGCGTGGTCTTTGAATGACTTCATTGAAATACCAGTCCCTGAATGAACTCAAAAAACAGTTTCTGATGAGTTCAATGATGATGAAGATCGCCAGCTCCCCCACTCAGGGGAAGGAGACGCCACCATGCGAAGCGTCAGCCATCGAGGGGAAGGAAGAGGAGGAGCAGGGAAGAAAACGCGTCAAGCAGCGCCATGGGCAGCGCATTGGCCAACATCTTAGGGGACCCTCCTTCCTTTCCGTCGCTGGGCTTGCTCAGCTTGCTCCCGCAGGGCCGCCCTCGCTTTCCTCCCGCCAGCCTCCGCCGAGGGTGGGAGGCCCACCCTGACGCACGGCGGAGGCAGCTTTCACTACGAGCCGTCTTTTGGATGGTGGGGGCCTGCAAGCGGCCCCAGAGAGGCCGCAACTGCAGAAAGCCGGTGGCCGCCTCGCTTCCTCCGCGACTCCTTCGAGATGCCGGTCCTCTCCTCCTCGCTCCTCCTCCTCCTCCTCCTCCTCCTCCTCCTCCTCCCTCCTCCTCCTCCTCCTCCTCCTCCTCCTCCTCCTCCCCCCCCTCCTCTCCCTCCCCCTCCTCCCCCTCCTCCTCCTCCCCCTCCTCCTCCCCGACTCTCGTCGCTCCCTCCCCAGCTCTCCCGAGACGTCGGCGGCCTGAGGACCCGCCTCGGCGGGAGGGCGCCCGCCCTGGCGGACGGGCCCCTTTCCGGAGCACGTGTGCACCGAGGCCCGGCCCCGGGTTGGCCTGGGCGGCCCCAGGCCGCACAGCCACCGTACCACCATGCGGGACGCGGAACACAGCAAGGCATGCGCGGGAAGCCCCGCGGCGAGCCCACCGCGCCCGAGGGCCCGAGGCGGCGTTTCTGCCCTGGCGGCCGCGACGCCCTCTCCCAGACGCCAGGCCGCGCGTCGGAACAGACGGCGCGGCGACGCGCTGTCCAAGGCACACCGACGTCGAAACAGTGCCGCGACGTCGGGGGCGGGCGCCGGCCGACTCATGTGCAGCATGGAGTCGCAGGGCTGGACCTAAACGTTGTCGTTCGTTCTGTTCTCGTTTCGCTTTTCGCTTCGCCCGGCCTGCTTTCCTGTGCCCCCCCTGCCAGAGCGGAGAACCGAGCACGGCCGCAGCCCAGCAGAACAGCGTTTAGGTCCAGCCCTGGAATACAGTCGGGCCGCTGACCTCAGGAACGAAAGTTGGCGACTTCTCGGAAATCCTCATCCCGAAATAGTTTTCTTTCATTTTTGGGGGCGCATGTTTTACTTCCGCCGCCCTCCGCCGAGCTTCCGCTGGCGGAGGCGGCCTCGTTTTATTTCCGCCGCCCTTCCACCGCTTTGCGCCGCGGAATGGATGCCAACTCCTTGGATCCTCGAATTCAAGGCCCTTTTTGGAACGCACAAAATCAGGAACGAGGCCTCTTTGGTTCCAAGTAAGTCCAGGAGGTCCGAAGGAACACCGGGGGGGCTCGCCGCAAAAAAAAAGGAGCGGAAGGCATGCAAACCCACGGAACGGCCTCCAGGCGTACCCGCCCCGGGGTGCACACGAACATCCAGCAAGCACGAAGAACCCCAGCAGATTCTCCCCGCACCGACCTCGATCTCATACCTCGGTCCGACCGTAAGTCTGTCGGGAGCGGCCAAGAGGGGGGTGTCCAAAAGGGGGGGTGCAAATCATGACCGGCGGCGTGTGCGCGGCCCAGCGGGGGGGCCAGGGATGTAACGAGATGAGAAGCGGCGCCATGGAATCTGGGGAAATATCATGGCCCACGCCATGATATCCGCCCCCCCCCTCCCCTGACCTTCCAGAGCGCTAAAAAATGACACTCCAGACCTATAGGTCTATCTGGACTGCCTCAAACCTCGACAGGAATTAGGACGTCGACGTCCTGGTGCTATTTTTTAGCCCTCCTGGAAGGTCAGGGTCGTCACCCCCCTCTCTGCCGCCCCCGAGTAGTAAGGAACGATGGCAGGCGCCTCTGGCCGCCGCGAGCCTCGGCCACGCTGCTATAGGCCCCCCGCTCCCGCCCCGGCCGAGGACCAGATCGAGCCCCTCCCTGAGCCCTGGCGCGGCCCTGCCCTCGGCGTCTATATATATATATATATATATATATATATATATATATATAGGTCCGTCGCCGGCGCTCCTCCGCGAGCTGTAGCGCCCCAGGGGGCGCCCCGAAGGCCGACGATGGAGCTCCAGCGTCGGCCTCTCTGTCGATGAGAAATCGAATCGATGGAGATCCTCGTTCCCGTAAAATGGCGGCCCGTGTTCCTATTCCTAGGAACGCTGGCCGCCTCGGCTTGGGCCGAGAGGCCGGACGCCAGCCCCTCGGCCCGCCGACGGCGGGGCGGCCTCGGGCTCGGGCCCGGGGCCGGGCCCGAGCCCGAGCCCGAGCCCGAGCCCGAGGCCGAGCCCGAGGCCGAGCCCGAGCCCGTCCCCGACTCCGACCCCGGGCCCGAGCCAGACCCCGGGCCCCTCTGGAGCGACCAGCACGGGACCCGTCGGCTCGCCGACGGTTGGAGCCCTTCGGCGTCCACGGCGGCGCTCCGGGCGAACAGCGGGGCGTGATGGCCAGGGGGGGGGGTGCGAACCAGCTGCATGCAGCTGACTGCTCTGGTGCCTCACGGCGCTGGAGGCGCCAGTGTATCGAGGAAACCGCCTGGCGGCGGGGCCGAAACCACGCGCACCCAGCAGATTTCGTACCCTCCCCCTTTCCCAGGGTCCCCCCCTTTCGTCTGGCCCGTGTGATGCTCGTCGTCTGGCTCGTCAACCCGGTTTCCTGGCGGCCGTTCGGAACGATCCAGGCACGCCCGGCATGCCCTCGGCGAGGCGCAGCTGCTGGGAAGCATCCCGAGGACTGGAAAACCGCCGGGAACCAACGAACGCGCCCGAAGACCTCTGACTCCGAACTCGCCGGCGCCCAGCAAGGGGTGGGCGCGAGGGGGGCGGCATTCCAGGAAGGCGGCGTGCTGCCGAGCAGGGGTGGGCGCGAGGGGGGCGGCATTGCAAGAAGGCGGCGTGCTTAAAACAGGGCTAGGATCGGGATAAATCGCTCCAGAGCGTTCCGGAGCGCTCTCAGAGCGTTCCGGAACGCTCTGCAGCGGCCGCGGCGCCCAGTACATCCTCCAAACCCGCCGATCCTCAGAGATTTCGAGTCATCCCGATCCGACTTTGTCCCGATCTTCGCGTCGTTTAGTGCTGCGCCACGCAGGGGTGGGCGCGAGGGGGGGCCCTCCGACGCCCGCCCGGCCTCTCTAAGTCGACCTTCTCCCGGCAGCCTGGCGGGGGCCCGAGAGCACCCCCTGGCCTCCCTCGCACGCCCCGCCGCCTCCTTCGAGCGCCGCCCCCCTCGCGTGGGCTGGGCGCCCAGCTCGGGGTGTCAGAGTCGGGCCGCGACCACTTCCTCCTGCACGCGTTTTTTTTTTTTTTTTTTTTGTTTTTTTTTCTGAGGGGGGAATCACAAAAAGGGCCTCTTCCCTCCACACACACACACAAAGCACACACACACACACTTTCGGTCGCTTCGAGGACTTCGGGCGCTTTCGTGGGCTCTCGGCGGCTTCCTGGCCGCGGGCGCCGCCCGGGAGCCCCCGGCTCCCGCCCGGCCCGCCCCGTCGCCGCGCTGACGGCCGGGCCCCTCCCCCCCTGCGGCGCGCCCCCGCCTGCAGCGGCGGCGCCGCGCCCCCCGCGCTGGGCGCGGGCACCCGGCTGGGCGGCGCCGACGGCGGCGGGCCGCGTCCTCGCGCCCGTGGCGCACCGCCGGCGTCGCCGTCGCCCTCGCCGTCGCGTGGCGGCGCGCCCCATAGGGGGGAAGTTGGCGAGGGCAGGCCTCCTCAGTGGACGGCGGGGCTCCTCGGAGGCCCCCTCCGGGCTCCCGAGAAGCCGTCTCTCCGCCTTCCCCATGGGAGGGCGTATATACCGTATAGAGGGAACTTCTCGGAGTGCCAGCGAGGCGTTCTGAGCCTTCTGAGGGGCCCAGATCCAGACCTGCGACGTCTTGATCCATTTTTTGGACGCCCGAAATGGGTACGGAAAGAATGGGTACAATGCCCGACAACAAGTGTTGCCCCAAACCAACAGCGGCCGCTGTTGGGCAGGCGGCCTTCTCTCGAATGGACACAGACCGCGGCGGCGTGGACAACGAGTCCTGCTCAAAATGAACAGGAACTGCTGTTGGGCATTGTACCCATTTTTCCGTACAGTCGGGGCGTTGACATAAGGAACCCTAAAGAAGGAACGGGGCCCCTTTCTCCCATAAGTTGAACTTCGATTTCCCATGGAAAACCTCAGGAAAACAGAAGGCAAACTGCAGCCCAATCAAGGAACACCGCGCCCCTCCCCAACGAAAAGGGTTCCTTCTTCGGGGCCCCGACTGTACCCATTTCGGGCGTCCAGACATTCGATGCGTGATCCCTCGAAGCCCCGATCCCTTGCCCCAGGCCCGGCTCTCCACCCCGAGCCGTGCTCTGACGGTCTGGGGGCCCGGCGAGGGCCCCTGCAAGCACCTCCCGGCATGCCTGTTTCACGACAGGAGCACGTCTGGGGTTCAGTCGGGGCTGCCCCCCTACAGGGGGATTTTCGACGAAAACTAAAAAATACCCCCAAACATAATCCAAAGATGCTCCAGAAATGGTCTGGGGACTATTTTTGGGTATTGTTTGACCTTTTTGGGTCATGTCTGGGGTATGTTATATTTTTCGTCGAAGCTGCGCCCTGTAGGGGGACACGCCCGACAGCAGTCTGGGGGCCCCTCTGCCTTCCTCCCCTCGTGCGCGCCGCCGAGTCATCGTCGCCGTCGCTTGCGTCGTCGCCGCCGCCGTCGGCGGGCCGCGTCCTGGCGCGGGCTGCGAGGGCGGCGGCGGCATGCGCTGCTGGCCGGAGGAGCTCGGCGCGGGGGCTCGGCCGCTGCTGCCGCCGTAGCTGCTCGCCCTGGCAGGAGGGCGCACCACCACGGCAACGAGCATGCGCAATGGCGTGCAGTCGGGGTGGATTGGAGAGGACACGCGAGAGGACACAAGACTCTTCAGATGGCAACATTTTAGAGGCCTCCTCGATGGGGTCGGAGTAGGTGGGGTCGGAGGATGGCGCCGCATCGACGATACATCGACGATGCATCGGCGATGCATCGGCGATGCATCGCCGATGCACCAGAGATGCATCGTCGACGTCAGAGATGAATCGGCGACGTCGTCGTGAAGCAAATCGGGCTCCACATCGAGCCGCATCGGCGATGCATCGGCGATGCGGCGCGCTCCTTCGACCCCTATCTACTCCGACCCCATCTGGGAAACCTAGACATTTCCAATGGAACGTAGAGGGCATGGGTCGCGAAGCACAAGACACAAGGGTACCCTTGTTTGGGCAGGGTCGACCTGCTAATCGAACCCGACCGTAGCGCTCTAGAGCAATTCTGCTGGCGGAGCTCCGCTTCGAGGACGTGCGACGTGCTGGGCTTGCCCGGAGACCCGCTCCGAGGACGTGCGACGTGCCCCACCCGGGCGGCGAGAGCATGGACCGCGCGCGCAAGAGGGGGGTGGCGCGAGGGGGAGGGCGGCAGTCGGAGAGGGCGGGGCGGGCTTCCCGAGAGGCAGAGGGGGGGTGCTTATAGAGGCGCCCTCCCGGCCTCCAAGGGGCCTTCTTGGACGCCGCTGGGCCCTTTTGAGAACCCCCGTGCGTTCCGGCGAGCCCCGCGCCCTCTCAGAAGGCCCCTCCCCCATCGCGCCCCCCCCCCCCGAGGCGCGCCGCCAAGAGACGGGGAGCCTGATGCCGTACGTAACAGACAGGGCGACCGCACGCGGCGGCGTGTGTGGGCCGACAGGGCGGCGGGCAGCGCAGAGGAGACAGCGCCTGCGAGCGCCAACCTGCGCGGCTGACGCGCGAAGGTCCGTGCAGCCGATCACCCAGGCTCCTCAGATCCTTCAGCGGTCCCTCAGCAGTGCCCCGAGTGGAGGCGTACAGCCTCTCCTCTGAATGCGAACAACGTAGCGTCGGCAGCACAGTGTTCATCCACCCTGCGTTACGCAGTGTCAACAGCGTCGTGCTAACTCACGGCTTGAACCTTTCATTCATTGTTAGGCGAAACCTTGCAATGCCTCAGATGCGTCAACACGTCTGCTTTGTGTCGGGGGTCCTCTGACCCGGGTCAATCCGGACCCGGGTCAGTCAGGCCTTGCAAAATCCGGCAAAATCCTGCAAGATCCTGCACCCGAACCCGGGTCAATGCGAAGGATCCTGCAGGATCCTGCAGGATCCTGCACCCAAATCCAAGTCAATGCGACCCTGGCCCTGCAGGATCCTGCAAGGTCGGGGCGCTCTGGCTGACCCCCGTTTGTGTTGACCCCCGTCTCCAGGCTCCCGATTGTGTCGCTCGGTGATCCCTCCGGTCTGGCCGTCCGACCAGCTCCTTTCCGCGCCCACGCCTCTCATCGACTGCGGCTTCGCACGCGGAGGCCCGCTTCGGGGGCCGAGCACAAGAGGGAAGCTCCGTGCAGAAGAACGGGCCCAGGGGAAGGGATCCGCGGGAACGTCCCGGGGCCAGGCACCAGAAAAGAAACAACGCGACGTCGGCGGTCTGCGCTCAGACCATGTCGTACAGTGGGGGCGTTGACCTAAGGAACGCTAGATAAGGAACGAGGCCCCTTTCTCCCATCAGTGAAAATTCGATTCCCCATCGAAAACCTAGGGAAAACCTGAGGCAAGCTGTCAAACAATCAAGGAACACGGAGCCCCTCCCCAACGAAAAGGGTTCCTTCTTCAGGGCCCCGGCTGTATGAACAGAAACAACGACCGGCCTTCTCGCCCCTGTTCTGGCCCTCCCGGCCCTCGCGGACCGATCTGGTTCGAGGCCTCCCGAGGATGTAAATGGGGGTCGATGGCTCCGTGGGACGACTTTCTCGCGCGGCGTCCTGATTTCATGGACGGCGTCGGCTATCGGGGATCTTTGCTAAGCCGATCCTGAGCCCAAGATCTCGGTGCACCTTAGTTGCACCGATACGCAACACGCAACACGTGGCGTATTGATACAGAGCTCAACACGTAGGCTGAAAACGTAGGTCCGACGCGATAGGTTCGCCAAAACGTGGTCCAATACGTGGAGCCAACACGCAAAAAATTGGCACGGACGTCTTGAACACGGGACGTGTTGTGTTTCAGAACGGACGTATCGAGGCAACTAAGCGGTGCACACGAAGTCTCACGCGGTACGAGGTCTCCTCTCCAGAGCTCTCTCTGGAGCCCCCAGAAGTCCCCCGAGAGGCCCAGGAAAGGCAAAAACTGGTCCAGAATCGATCTCCTCCACTTTCCTCTCGGCCTCCAAATTCCAGTCAAAATGGGTCCTACCCCTGTACGGCAGGTTCGCGTCGTGTCGACCCCGGCGTTGGTTTCTGACACCGCGGGGATCGTTCAACCTTGAACGATCGGCCGTTTCCGAAACGTCAAAATCGTTCCACATCGAACGATTCTGGGTCGCCCGCGGCGTTCAAGGTTGAACGCCGCTGGCGGGGTCGCCGCCGGTCGACACGACACGAACCTACCGTAGAGGGATCATCCCAGCACTGTTGCCAGCCTGGGTCGAGGCTAGTCAGACGGACCTGGGCCCCGACGCGGGCGACCAGGGGCCAAAACCCGAGGAGAAAACGCTCAGATAATAATGCTGATCGATGACAGCCTCCTCCTCCTCCTCCTCCTCCTCCTCCTCCTCCTCCTCTTCCTCCTCCTCCTCCTCCTCCTTCTCTTCCTCCTCCTCCTCCTCCTCCTCGTTCCTCCCCCCCTCATTCTCCCTCCCCCTCTCCCTTCCTGCCGCCTCACCCCTCCTTCGTCTTCGTCCTCACAGCCCTGACCAGGCCCGGAAGGTGAGCACGCCACGCCCGACGCCCAGCGCCATCCCCGCCTGAATGGACCCCGACTCGGACCGAGGCAGGACAACGGCGCCTTCCTGCCGCTCCCCTGCCGCCCTCCCGCGCCATCCCACGCGGAAACTGGCGCTTCACTTCGACCTCCCTCCCCCCCCCTGCCTCTTCGCCAACAGTGCATCCACCACCGTGCGCCCGTCCCGGTGGCACCGCGGCCCTGGGCCCAGGAGCGGCGATGACGGGGGTGGGGGTACAGTCGGGCCGCTGAAAGAAGGAGCGCGAAAGAAGGAACGAAGCCCCCTCTTGGCCCTGTAGGCGCCTCCGTGCGTGCCCCAGGGGGGCAAGAGGAACAGCACTGGAGGAGCCTGAGGAACATCGAGCCCCTTCCGAACCCCAACTGTTCCTCATTTCGACGTCTCGGCTGTAGACCTACGGTTTGGGAATCGCGCCCGTCGCGGCCTGGAGGGGGGCGCGCCGCCGTACCGCGAGGACATGGCGCCTGCGTGGCGCCGCGCGCCTGGGGCTGCAAAAACGGGCGCCGTGTCCTGCTCGAGCCTCAAAAACGGGCGTGTGGTGGAGGAGGAGGGCTCCAGGATGGGGGTTTCAAAATCGAAGTCTTCTGAAATGCTTGGGGCCCTCTCCAATCTCGTTGGGGTTTTCAATGGCACCCGGAGCTTCGCCAACAAGCTGCGGATGGGTGGGTGGGATAATTTCACGAACGTTGGACATTGTCGCGCGGATGCGGTCAAACTGAATTGGCCCCACATACGACACAACGTATTTGGACTTGCCTTTTTCGACATGTTCGCCAACGTGGGCCCCAAAACGCGTGCTTCTAAATATCTATGCCGTGCGTTGTAGGTGGGGCGACGAATACATGTGGTGCAGTCGTTGTGGTGCACTTCGCCCGTGCAAATCCGAAATTGCACGTTCCACTGCTCGTGCAATCATCCCACCCACCCGCCCACCCGCAACTTGGTATGCAAAATCCCATGCGGCGGCGAGTTCGCGGCCGCGCTAGCGCACGCAAACTCGCGCGCAATGTGGCCAACTAGTCTGGCACAACCGACGCGGCTGCGTTGGCGCTGACCGCTGGGGACTTCCCAGCGCGCTTCGCAAGCCACACTGACGCGCGGGCGTGTCAATGCGAGTCGATGACCCGGGCGGGCGCGGTATCATGGCGATACCGAAAACGGCAAACGCGAGGATGATGATTGTAGCGGTGCTGGTAACGATGATGACACTGACGACGGCAAGGCCAATGACGACGCTGATGCTGATCACGCCGATGACGATGACGGTGTTCACGTGTCGGTGATGAAACGTGTGGATGGGCTTCAACATGCGCGCGCGGCCGACGCGGGCGAATGGCCCGCATGGTACTCATTGACAGGGATCGCGTCCCCCACCCCCAGCACGCGCGCAAGGGCGTTCGAATGATTCCGACATGCGCCCGCGCTAGAAGCCCTTTTGGTCGGATTTGTGGATGCAAAAAGGTGGGGTGCCGATGGCTCCGTGCACATTTGTAAAGAGCGCGCGCAAGTTGTTCGAACAATCAGGTTGCATAACAAGTTGTGCCTTATATTGTTTCGGCTCTGGGATGTTGGCTTGCGCGCGGGCGATTTGTTGAAACATCCAGTTGTCAAACCATTGCGTTGCTAGATGTGCTCGGGGCACCTCGACTTAACATCCCCTACGAAACCAAATTTTCATAAAGAATTGTGGCAGTCGCGCGACGACGCGTGCGCGCAGACTTTGTCACATCTGTTGCAAGGGCGCATGGGGAACATCAAATTTGTTATCAACAAGTGTGCGCTCATCGTTTGGTTTGACAAAGATGAAAGGGGGGCCGATGCCAACCTGGCAAGGATGACATGCATGAAATAAATAAAATTGAACGATGTGGCAGGACCACAAGTACATCGCACACCTCCAGGAGGCGGGCATAAGTCCGGGGGAGGGATCCATATTCCTTTGTTTACAAGGAGAAACAACCTATGTTGTGCATCTAGTTC